GGAAATTGATATTTTTTCCATGGTTCGAGTAAGTAAACAGATTTTCCCTGGGTGGAATTCAGGGTGAACAAAACGACAGATATCGGGAGGTCGTGGAATTCTGGCTCGTTTCTTATCCGTTTCGGGGGCGAAGTTCCCTCTTTTCGTCGAATCATCGCGAATTCGAGGGTGTTATTTCGAATACCGAGCATTCCTTCGAGAATCTCCGCCGTTTATCGACGATTTCGTGAAGCTTTCGAACAGATTTAAGATTCACCTACTTCTACGCTATCTCTCATCGAAAAGAAACAAATTTCACTGAAACACAGTTCGTCGTGTAAAAAAGAAAATATAAAGAGGAATTTCTAAAGTGTGTGTATATTTATGCAAACTCTAGAACCTATTACTTTCGCGAGAAACAAGAACTTACACTCGCCGTCACCGCTCTAGCCACAGAGTCGCCCTTGAATTGATTTAGCACCGCATCCCTGAAGGAAGAAAAATCACGTTCGTGGATAAAAATAAAGCTCGTAATACCCTTTTACCGTGGTGGGAAATATTTTTCTATATTCTTCAATATCCTTTCAGTCAAATCTCTGTTCCTCTTTTTCGTACAATTAAATTCAAATTAAATTTCACCGTTTCATCGATCTCCAGTATTTCTACAAAAAATTGAAAATTGTCTCGAACTTCAATCCAAGAAAAAACGAAACATTACCATTATCCGACTTCGTTCAGGATGAATTTGCGAGCAAGCTGGTCAACAAAAAAAATGTATGGAAATGGTAAACGATCAATTTTCCACGGTTAAATTGCAAAAGCATCGAGAGAACGACGGCACCTGTACGGTTTACGGCTTTATGCCTCGACGACAGGCGGCCTCTTCATTTCTATTAGCCTCCCTCCGAGCCGCTTCACCCTTCTATCTCTCGCCAGGCCTTCCACCAAGAAGCCTGAGAGAACCCATGACACAAGCTCGAGTCCTCCCCTCGTCCTAAACCTCTCTCCATCTCTCTCGCTCATCCTTTCTCCCCCCGTTGTTCTTCATTCTCCGGCGCCCAGACTTCGATCTTAAAGGTGCACCCCTCCGTGCCCTTTCCTTCGACGAACGTCTAACTCTCGCGTATCCTAAAAGAGTCGATTATTTTACGGTGAAGATTCCCGGTTCCGGGAAACGATAAATATTTCCCGTTCGATGTGAAAAGTGGAGGACAGGTTAGGGTGCCTGGTACACTCGGCGGTTTCTAAGGGAAGTTCGGTCCTTTTTTTTTATGAGCTGCGTAATGGATATGTTGTTTGAGTTAGGTGGATGAGAATTCTGTTGGATGTCAGTTTCTCGAGATTTTATTGGGCGGTGTGGTTTTGGGGCTGGGTTATTGTTCGAATCGATATTTATTACGGTATAAGTGGTATTTAGTAGGTTAAGCTGCTGCTTTAGTACGGTGGATTTTTCTGAGATGAAGTTGCTCTGAGATACACTGTTACGAGCATGAAGACACTTGTTTAGTGTGTTCTAAGTTACATTTCTTCGTCACTTTTATTGTTTTATGTCAATAAAACAATGTGCAGTTGTTAGTCTACGAGACTTGAAACTGAGAGGATTTTTTCAGGATTTTAGAAAAATTGTGACGATATTTTAGTATGGGACGTAGTTTACTATTGAAACGAAAGTTCCCTTTTACGTACCGAATTTTCTTTTATTAAAAGAACGTCTTTTGTGCACGAATAGCTCTTAGGAACTGCTTCTGGACACCCAAAAAGAGAAAGTTGGGGTCTAAGACGAACTCCAGACACTCCGATAGTCCTCCTAGTGTCTTTGTTTACACAAAAAGGCTGAGACACTCTTCTTCTCAGCCGATATATTTTATTTAGTGTCCCTAGAAATAATCCAACATCTTAATGACACAAAGCAGCTCTTCCATTCAATAATCGTGCAATTTCCATTATTTTAAATAGCGTTTCCAGAGAAAAAAAGAGGTCTAACACTCAGCGATGCATCAGCGCGAAGAACAAACACTAGGTACATAAGGTGATAACGCCTATCACCGCGAGCGGAAAGAGAAGCGAAAAAAGAACGAGGCTAACAAAGCAAAGAGATAAATTATCCACGGTTATACGTACATTAAACTCGTGCACACGATATTTCACTGTTGTCAGTTTATCCGCGACACCTGCTACACCGAATCCCTCTTATTTCGACGGGTATCAGCGGAACGGAACATTCGTGCAGGGAATCTCCGGGATCGGAGAGATCGATAGCGCCAATAAAACGCCACTTTCGCCGCTATAAATCGACACCGGAGATCTTTTTATTGCCTTCCGTGTATTTGCGTGGTAATCACTGATGGATAGTCAAAGCCTGGCCCACGATCGATGGTCGATCAATCGTCCGACGATTTTTCTATTCAATTCGTTAACGTAGGTAATACCGTTTAAGGCCTAGGCTACAGTGAGTGAAGAGGAATTGTCTTGGGAACGCATACGAAATGTTGGAACGACAGATTGCCCTAAGTTTATGGTACAATCGACTAATTCGCTATTTTTAAGGATTCGAACATTTTATTTTCCTTGCGATCAGGAGAAACACTTAATAGCTTAAACGCTTGATATAAGAATCACATGATAATGTTAAAAGTTTGCGATCTTCTGGGACCAAATTATCAGCCTCGCGGTTTGGACACGCCTGATTTAAATTGTGAATGAAATTTTGGTAAATAAAATTTTTGGAACACGCTTTTTTTTTTCTAGTCTACGAACGCTTTCATTCTTACTTCGCTCTTGCACGCATTCGCACACTCTTGCCGATTCTCGGTCTTTCTTATGGATTTTACGTAATTTCAGGGTATTCTGAAAGATTCCAAAGTCTCGAGCTGTCGTGAATAAGAAACGACGTGAGCTTTCAAGAAACGCGGAGCAGAGAGTAATTCATTTAGGTGGATTGATTAAAGCGTTCGTTAAGAGTGCGTCGAGGTTGAAGCTTTTAAACGATTAATCGTTAATGGCCCGGTAGTAGATGCTGTTATCTCTTGATGGGCTCTACGGGTAATCGTTTGGTAATATTTTATGGATATTTGTCTTCTGGATTAGGTTCTTCTTTTTTTTTCTTTTTTTTTTTTTTTTTTTTTGTTCAAGGTGTAAGTTGGTTAAGCTGTAGATATCGGTTTCTCGTGTAGGAAAGTCCTCGACGAGCACTCGAGGATCGGTAAGAACGCGGTTCCTATTTTCTGGGGTAAAAATAAGACGAGTAAATATTGATTCTGTTAATGGCGCCACCGTTTTCCTCTGACTTTCGGTCCATCAGCTTAACTGTACTCGGACTGTGTTTCGGGGAATGATGATAAAAGAGTTGTTGCTATGCTTTGGCCTAGTTTTATGGTATCAGCAAGTAGATCTTATAAAACAAAGGATTCTCGAGGAGTTCTCTTCGCAAACAGAAATTGAATCTCTCTATTTTATAATTAAAAATTAGTACAAATCGTAACTAATTATTTAATTATATTTTTTTATTGATTTATGTTTAATGCGGGCAAAATTGTACAATTAAAATTAACCAATCCTTCGATAGATAAACTACTGTGTTCTTCTTTTTCGATTCTGAACACAACGGTGTCTGGTTTTTCGGTATTGACGAACCGCTGACGAGTTAACTCGTCTTCTCCAATTGAAAAGTTAAAATGGATCAATTTTAAAATGAAAGAATTCATTTTTTTAGAACCACTGTATCGGTAGAAAATTTTAAATAAAAGAATACAAATTTTCTACTGGCACAGCGGTTCTAAAAAAAAAAATGAATTCCCAGCATAAACACAGAACTTTGGTACAAAATTTCTCCCGTGTTAACACCAGTAGACAAATAAATAAAAATTGCGACAAAACAAGGCGAAACATTTAAGACTCTTTGTTCCCCGCGGAACAATGTGACTCGAGCAAAGTTCCAAGGCTAAAAATCCGATCGAGTTTTCCATGAACGAGAGGAGCGAGCGATCCTCGCTGGAGGTAGCCGCTAATTAGCCGCGAAACGGAACAAAAGGCGGCAACGACGACGATCATCGGGACAATAATTTCGAAAGTTGAAGTGAAGTCTGCCTGAAGATGGTTCCTCCGTCTTGAAGGCCGGTATTCAGGGACGTTGGACCGTGTGGAAAATGGAATTCGGCGCGATATCGCGTTCGAAGGGGGACGCAAATTAAAATGTCTCCGTTGGAAGAGAGTAAGAGATCGCGTCGAAGGGAGGGAAGAATTTTTTGCCTCTCGCCACGCTTCACCTCTAATTTAGCTTCCTCCGTTTGTCTCCTACCGTTCGAGAGCCTGGCGAACTTTCGTCCTTCCGGAGAGAATCGATTCCCCTGGGAACGCTTTGGAAACGCGGTCGAAGAAAGTCGAGAGGGGAAACTCTGCTTCTGTTCGGTATGAACAGTCTATTATACGCGCTCTCTCGCTGGGGTGTTGTTAGTT